TGTGTTGCACATTGGTTCCTTATTAGTTTGTGACTGGCCATTGGGAGGTAAACATGGGCTTAATTTACAAGTCTAATTTTCCAAGCATAGAGCTATGACAGGACTGCACAATATTTTTTTATTCCAAGTCCTAGAATTCTCCAAGAATTTGCCAAGCAGAATTCTGGGAGTTCCAGCCCACAGACCCACACCTACAAATATCTGCATTTCTCTCACCTGCACCAGGCCTTGCTGCTGTAAAAGTCCTATACGAAAGTGAGTGGTTTGTCCTTGTATAGCAAAGTAATAGTTTGGTGGTGCACCTGGAGTACAGGGAACCATCTACCTGCCTATGATTATGCTTTGTAAAATGTTACTTCCCTGTTTAATTCTGGGAAGTTACCAAATAACCATGAGCTGCATTTTTTTCCATCATGAAACCGAGGAGAAAGAAACTAGTTTTGTAGGCATTATTGCTGCTCCTTGACAAACGATCTCTAAGTACTATTTCCATGAAGATCCCAATGAAGTTTGACTCAGTCTGTGTGTCAATGAAGGAGACAGGTTTTTCCCAGGGTCTCCTAGGGTCAAACTATAGATTACAAAGTGTATATGATTAAAAGAAGACATTCTTTAAGTCCTGAAAGCATCTGGAGCTTTTCGCACCTTCTGTAGTTTGTAGATTATCTTGTCGTTTTGTGATAGGTCTTCAGGAGGTAAACACAGACCTTGTTTGCAGTTCTTGTTTCTAAGATGTAAAGGTCTACTAGAATTACATCTCTGAAATGCCAACTTTGGTCTCTGCTTTGCTTTGCAAGGCTCTCAGCAATGGTCCACATTTCTGTTCTTTTCATCACAATCATAGCCCTCCTTCCAAACTCTCAACTGATCACAAAAGAAACTAAATGAATGCATGTGCGAAGTATGAGATGTGTGAAAAGTTCTGGCTGATAGTAAGACATTTTCAGTACTTGAGCAATTCATTATTCCAGTGACAGGTTGTCTGTTCAACAATACTTTGGTCCAGAAGCACCACCTTTGTTATCTGACCTAGTATATATGCATTGTGGTTGAGTATACTTGTAAAGCAGTGGTTCTCAACCATCAATACAACTGCCATCAGTGGGACAGAGAAGTAGCCTAGGTGAGACGCAAGGTTTTCATGACAATTAGTAAAAGTCCACTCTGCTTCAGTCTCTGTGTCTTCCTGAACGTGTGATGGGTTGCCTCCCGCTGACCCAGTTTGCCACAGATGATCCATTGGTGACCTTTTTGCATGCTAGTAGTAATGTTGCATGCTTGGTGTTTCTCCTAATCCCTCCTTTTTGCCCCTGTCCACCAGTGAGTGTCCTTAAAGTGCCACTTGCTGAAAAGGATTATCTGTTATGCTTTTGCCCCGCCCCACTCGCCCATTCTGTTACTTGTAATAAGTAAAGGCCCATAAACAAATACATGTCAGTCTGAGGAAAAGTGGGAGTTTTAATTCTGTCACGGTGGCGGCAAGATTTCTTGACACAATGATTAGTGGGCTGTCAGGTTAAAAACAAAAGATGGATGACCCTCAATTCAGTCATTCTGTGATCTGGAATTACTGACATACTACAAAAGAAGTAAACCCCAGCCCCCTCCCTCTTCTCTTTACTCATGTGAGTGGCAAGTAGAACAGGGCCCTGTTGACATGTAGGTTTTACATGCAAGGAAGAATCCAGAATCAGTGAGTTCTTGCTCCCATGGAGAGCCTGAGTATGAACAGGAATTCCTCTTCAGACTTATCACTGTTCGCATAACAAAGCAACAAGGCAGAGGTGGGGCTAGCTATTCTCCTGTAACCATGTTGATGATTCTGGCTAAAAGTAGGATAATACTTGGCAGTAGGATAATAAGAATTTTACTAATATAAAACTGTCATTTTGTGAATACCATCAGACTGAAAAGTAGTGTGAAAGGCACTAAACGGTATGCTTGCCTCTGGCATTTATGTTTTCCTCCAGTGATTTCTGATGTGAATCATTGGGTACAAGTGAGAGAAAACTATCCACCTTTCTTTGCAAATGGCTTGAAAGAATCAGCCATTTTGCTCTCAGACGCTTTCATTATTTAACTTTTGTAATTCACAATCTCTGTTTGAAGCTAAAGGGAGCTGCAGTTCTAGAGCAGCTAAAATATCCATAGACATAGTTCAAGATTTACGTACTAAATTACAGACTTGTTTGGGTTACATATATATAATTTCTAGTGATGTAGTGCAGCCAGGGCATACAGGGTGAACAGATGAATAAGAGACAGGCACATGGATTTCCCAGAAACAATATGTTGTTTGAAGCTACAGCAGTTGAAAAGCAAATTATCATGGGCAATTATGACTCATTAGCTTTATTCTCAGGTCAGATTAGAGGATACACTTAGCTCAGGTTTTGCAAAATTACTCTCTCTTGTGCTGAAATACAGCCTCGTCATAGCAAGTGGTGGTCCTCAGTTAGCATGATGCATTTTCCCAAGAACATCTGGAGGCCCAAGGTTGGGGACCACTGGACTAGAGGATACACTTAGTTCAGGTTTTGCAAAATTACTCTCTCATGTGCTGAAATACAGCCTTGTCATAGCAAGTGGTGGTCCTCACTTAGCATGATGCATTTTGTGATTGGTAATGGGAAAGTAAATAGAGGCTTGATTTACCAGGCCAATTGCTGAGGTGCATGTCTCTGGGATGCATGGAAGTGAGAGCTGGACCATAAAGAAGGCTGACCACCAAAGAATTGATGCTTTTGAATTGTGGTGCTGGAGAAGTTCTCTTGAGAGACCCCTGGACTGCAAGGAAATCAATCCTGAGTGCTCACTGGAAGGAAAGATCCAGGAAAATGTGAAGGCAAGAGGAGAATGGGACGACCGAGGATGAGATAGTTGGACAGTGTCATCGAAGCTACCAACATGAATTTGACCAAACTCCGGGAGGCAGTGGAGAGAGGAGGGCCTGGCATGCTCTGGTCCATGGGGTCATGAAGAGTCGGACATACCTTAATAACTAAACAACAACATGTCCCTGGGGAAATCATGTTGTGGGAGAGGAAATGGAAGCTTACATTCCTTTCAATTTCTTATTTGACCCTTTGACAACATGGTAGGGTTGCAGCACCTCTAAAAATGTCGTGTAGGACTAGGGAGGTGCAGAGTGACATATTTGCTAACATATCCTAATACCCATTAGTTCATACTAGCCTGGACAGAAAGTACAGGTTTCCAGAGGATTTTTGCATTTACAGTTTGAATCACCACCTTGACACCAATGGGAGGGGGAAGAATAAGCTGCACCAGGTTTAGCTGGTAGAGCAGTGGGACCAAGAATTCACCCAGCTGGAGGAATGGACCAATTTGGGATTAAGGTAATCCAAAACTGGCTCTCCTTCATCTCTGTGATGCCCCTTGAATGCTCCACTGGGTGGCTTTCCTCTGATGTGGGTAAAGTGGGGACCTTTGCAGTGGCACTAATCTTTGCTGATGGAGACCAAAAACTTTGGGGTCCTCTGCTCAAGCCATCAACAACAGTTTTCTGCATATGTTCTTACTAAGTGCATTTGATTGCCAATAATGTTGCAGAATCCCATTTGCTTTACAGATTTATTTATAATTGTGCACAGGTTGAACATGACATGAGGGTTTGTTTGTTTGTTTGTTTGTTTATTTATTTATTTATTTGATTTATTTATTTGATTTATATCCCGCCCATCTGGTCTGGTCGACCACTCTGGGCAGCTTCCAATAAGGTGTATACGAAAAACATAAGAATTTTACAAACAGTCCATAACACATACTATTCTGGGTAGTGTGGGTGGCATATAAATTGAATAAATAAATAAATAAATAATAAAACAAATAATAAATAAAAGAAAAAATAAAGAAAGAATTAAATATTGACAGGAGGGAAGGTGTGAACATGCAACCATGTTTTATTTGACTCTTAAAAGTGTCCAGCGTAGGGGTTGCACGAATAACCAGAGGAAGGTTATTCCAGAGGCGAGGAGCCACCGCCGAGAAGGCCCGGGTTCATACCACTAACAATCTTAACATATTTCTGCTCTCCCACCAGACATCTAGGGAAACTCACAAAAGAGAGCAAGTGTAAATTATGTCAACCAATCAGCTACGCCTTCTTGGGCCTACACGACTCCCAACGAAACACATCCACAACATGTTCCCAGCTACCATCTGTCTGCTGCCAGATGTGCCTTGAGAGCCCTACAAAAAGAAGACTGCCCTCAGTGCATGAGGAACAGAAGGGTGCTAGATCTGTACCCTCCAGTATTATTCCCTGTGTGTGGAAAGTGACAAGAAGACTCCTTCCTGCACAGGCAGCTTCTTCATGCAGTTGAGAACCATGCTTTTTCATGGCCCTTCCCTGAGTGTACATAGATCCTCTATGTGTAAAAGTCTGTTCCCTCTGTGCACAGAAAACAAAGAATTAGAAGAGGAGGCTAGCTCCCTCTTGCTCTTCACACCTTCATATTAGCCTTTTAAAAAAGCCTGAATAGACTTTGAATCTCTTTTCAGCCGGATGCATTGAGCTATATAGAACCTGATGTCATCATTGTCTCTTCTTCTTTTTTCCCCTCGTCACATATAATCCCCATTTACAGTCCTAAACTTTCTGCACCCTTGTTAGTCAGTGGTGGGAATGGGCTGACTGAGCTCGCAAACCTGTGCATTATTAACTGACCTGGAAATAAGCCTCACTGAGCTCAGTATTTGCAAATAATATGTGCAATTAACTAGCAGCTCTGAAGCAACTTCCCAAGAGCAGAGTTGCAACTGAGATGAGAATTGAATAGTTCTTGCAGGTGTTAAGAGGCTATTCAGGAGGTTAGGATGCATGTTATATAAATATACAGGGAAGAAGGCATTAATCTCTCTCTCTCTTTCTCTTTCTCTCTCTCTCAGGCTTTTCCTGTATGGCTCTGGGCACACTCTGATAATCTGATTAGGAGATTTTCTTTGACAACACTTCTTTTCCTAATGCTGTAGTGACCATGGCTGTCCTTAAAGTGAAATTCACCAAAACAAAGAGGGACAAGTTGGCTCAAATATTATGGATCCTCAACTGGATTTCAGTGGTGTCTGGTGCAATTTTGTTCAGCTTGGGACTCTTTTTGAAAATAGAAATCAGAAAGCGTAGCGAAATGATGGCCAAAGGAGATATTAACTCAGTCCCCAACATGCTCATCTCGGTTGGGGTTGTAGCCTGTATCATCAACTTTCTTGGAGGCAAAATCTGCTACGACTGCACAGACATGAATAAATATAACCGATGGAAACTGGTTATGCTCCCATACATTGTATGCACATTTTGTTTCACCTTCTGCATCTTAGTGGGTGCTGTTATGTGTTACACCATGAGAAATGAGCTGGAGGAGTCACTGTATCTGGGGTTGAGAGATGCTATTAAATTCTACAAGGACACAGATATCCCTGGAAGATGCTTTATGAAGAAAACAATAGATGCATTGCAGATCAAGTTCCAGTGCTGTGGAAACAATGGTTTCAGAGATTGGTTTGAAATTCAGTGGATATCTGTTCGCTATTTGGATATGGCTTCAAAGGATGTTCTAGAGTAAGTATCCATGTGATAAATTACTTGAATCTGTTCTGTCACAGAAGGAGTCTGGGTTGAGCAAATGGCACAGCCAAGAGAGACCTCCATGGGGCACAATTCTCCATTCCATCCCCATCTCTTTGCACTCTGCAAGTCAAAATAGCTTGATATAGGTTGTAAAAGAGGCTAATAGTAGGAGCTGTTCAACACTGGAGCACAATGGATGTGTGCAGCCTGCATGGACTCAGAATGTTATAACCAGGGCAGGTGCAGGCCACACAACGTCTGCAATTGCCTGTCTCACATTGGTGACTGATTAGAGGAAACAATGTTTTCTGGTGGCCTTTGAAAACTCAGGTGTGTCCTTGGAGACAGTAGTTATGGCAAGTTTTAAAAACTTGATAGAGCTAGGTATATTTATCTTAGAAAAGGGATCACTCAGAAGAGCCATGGTTGATGTCTTCAAGTATCTGTAGTGTTCTTAAGTCAGACGGTAGGCCAGATCTCACCTGTCTTACACCAGAGGGCAGCACTGTCTTGGGTAGGTGGCAATTAGAGAGAATCAGATTTTTTTTGAAACACTCAGGTAAGCCTCTTAAGTATACAGGCTATTTTATGGTTTACAAACTCTGTTAGGAAGTGGTGGGAACTACTTTGCTGAGAAGCTTTCTACTTGGAATACTGTTGCATCCAACATTCCAGATTCTTTACAAAGGCAAGAGTTGGGTTACATAATCTCCAGATTCCCTTTGAATTTGAAAACAAGGGTGTAGTCATGAGAAGACAAGACTCACTGGGAAGGACAATAATGCTAGGAAAAGTTGAAGGCACAAGGGAAAGAGGAAGACCTATTACAGGATTGAGTGGCTCCGTAAAGGAACCCATGCCCTTTAGTTTATGAAACTTGAGTAAAATCGTTCATGATTGGACCTTTTGTAGACAATAAAAAGGCAAAATAAAAGTGCAAAATTCATGATTGGACCTTTTGTAGGTCACCAATTGGCAGAGTTGCCATAATTCAGAAATAACTTGGCAGCACATAAAAATAATAAATCCTTAACATTGTTTATTTGGAAGTACATGGGGAGTCTGAAATAAAGTGGGAGTGAACGTGAAAGCTACCATAGTACAGTATTTTGGACAGAGTGTCAGCCTAGAACTCAAAGTTTTGGGGTTCACATCACTGCTCAGTCATGGGAACTTCCTGGATGTGTGTGATTATGACAAGTCACTCCTTGAACATCTCACCCACCATGAAAACCCTGTCAGAGTTGCCATAAGTTGAAGGTGCCTTGAGAGCAAATAAAAACCAAAGCATGATTGGAACACTTAAGAGAAGGCTAGTATAGATTGGTGACTAAGTAGGGGGCTGTGAACCAGCAGGTTCTTTGTTTGAAACTCAGATTTGCATTTCATTTACTAAACCCCACTTTCTAAAAATTGCTCATATTCTCCAAACTTCAACTCGGTGTGCAATGTAGACATGACGGTACCAACCTACCTTACCAGGCTGATATACAGATTAATAGGATAATATAGAAGAAGTACCTTGAAAGGCGAAATAATATTATAGGAAATGGCTTTAAAGTCTAACAATAGATTACCATTTTGAGAACAGAAGTAAGATGCATGAAAAGTTGTCCATCAGTTATGGTCCCAGGAGCAAGGTGGGAAGCAGAGTGTGACTGTTAAAAATAGGACCGTGGACAAACATATTGCTGCAGTAAGAATGCCCACAACTTAATTAATTACATTTGAACAGCCTTGGCATAATGGCACAGGGCACCAGATTGAGGAATCAGCTGACCTATGTGTCACCAATGAAACATCCAAATCCTGGGGGGGGGACAAGATGTCAGATCTATATAGCCAGATATTCCCTCTGCCACCTGGGAGTACGGGAGGCATCACCACACTAAAGTTGAGCATGTGTCTGAGGAGTTTAATCTGAAGATCCCCTTTAAGGGGTGCTTGTAATTGCAAGGGGAAACAATCATGCAGGCTACTCCACCACCCCCCAGCAGTGCTCAAAACGTCCAGAAATAAAGGAATAACAGGCTAGAAGAATGTATAAAAGTAGTGCCTCCTGAAATGTCACCCTCATAAGGTACCTTATAGCACTAGCCCCAGAACAAAGGCAACAAAGATATAGAAGTTCTGGTCATGAAAGGTGTCAACAGCACAGTGAGGGAACAGTTTGAGCAACCTATGCAGATGGGAGAACATCCACAATGAACACCTGGACAGGGGATTTAGCAGGCACAGACATCACCTGATCATAGTTTTCCCTTACTCAGGTGAAACACATTGCAATTATGCTCAAATTACAATAAGCATGCCCATTTTAGCACATGCAGTTTGAAGCAAAACAGCACCCTTTTAAGTCCTCATTTTTGGTCCTTCCAATAGCTTGGACCCAAGCTGTTTAGGGCTTTATAGGTGAGAACCAGCACTTTGAATTGTGCCCGGAAACAGAGCAACAGCCAGTGGAGCTGCTGTAACAGGGACGTTACGTGATCCCTGTGATCAGTTCCAGTCAGCAATCTGGCTGCTGCATTTGGACCTGCTAACAGCTCCAAAACACTTTCCAGACACTTTCCAGAGGCAGCCCCACATAGGGTGCATTACAGTAATCTAGCTGGGAAGTAACTAGGGCATATGTCACCGTGGGCAGATCAGACCTCTCCAGGAATGGCTGCAGCTACCACACTAGTTTTAAATGCAAGAAGGCACCCTTGACCACTGCTGAAACCTGGGCATCCCAGCTCAGAGACAAATCCAGGAGTACCTCCAAGCAGCCTTGACCACTGCTGAAACCTGGGCATCCCGGCTACAGGATGTACCTCCAAGCCATACACCTGGGTTTTCAGAGGGTGTGTAACCCCATCCAGTACAGGCTGCATCCCTGTTCCTTGATCTGCTATTTGACTGACCAGGAGCACGTCTGGATTAAGTTTCAGTTTATTTACCTTCATCCAGTACATTAGTAGAATTGAATATTGGGATATTGGCAGGGGGAGAAAAGACCATTGTGAAGAATACTGGAGAAGAAGAGAGAATGCTTGCATTTGTGTGTGTGTGTGTGTAACAAACAAGTTTGTCAGGATTAGACACGTTTGCTAGTTAGAAATAAAGTGCATAGCAATTTAATGCTCCATAAATAAATTATTTTGTTGTTTGATACACCACCATAATGAGTATCCTTGAAAAAAAATTATAGAGTTCAGAAATGAACCACAAAAAATAATTATTAGACTTTTGCAAAAAGTATTCAGGTTACTTCAGCAACATAAGAGTGGCTGATACCTTTCATTGGACCACTAATTAATTAAACAAATAGCAAGCTTTTGTGGAGACAATCTCACTTCCTTAAGCTCCAGTGTAACATGGACAATGCAAAAAGAAAAAAAAGAAAAGAAAAATAAAAATGTCGAAACATCAGGAATATCATAAAATTGTGTAATGTTGTAGTCAGTGAACATTCAGTAGAGAACAAAACAATCTCAAAAGGGATATTTAAGATACTTCATTTTCCTCCCCGTACCAAAATCTAAATAGCAAATAAGTATAGCTAGATAGTTTAACAGCTCTTACCTCCTAAAGCAAGGGATAGGCAAATTAATTAATTAAGGGACAAAATTTGCTTGCAGAGTTTGAGTACAGAGCCAATATTTTCCTTGACAACAAATCTCCGGGAATGCTGAAGTCTACATAAAACTAGTCTTGATCCTTGAGTCTTCTGAAAAGCAGTGTACATGATTATAAGTTATAGATAGTATCTCACAAAGAGTCGGGCATGACTTAATGACTAAACAACAACAAAAAGAATCTCATGTGAACCTCCAGGGCTCCCAACATTAATCCCACTCCCAAATTGTTCCTAAAGAAATGCTTTGATTTAACTGAAAACATACTCTTGAATCCCCTCATAGGCAATTTTTTTTAAGTTAGGGTGTGTGGGGAGCGCCAATGGGACTGGAGCCTTCTCAAAACAGGGGGAAAATGCCCCCCACTGCCAAAAGGACTCAAGAGGCCTTTGTTAGGAGAAATAAAACTAAAGCAAACCCAAACAATTGTTTAAAGCGTTGTGCTGGGGTCCCAAGAGGTGGTGGGATCTGCATATGCCCTGCATGAGGAATGTTTTCATTCCTGTATTACAGCCATAATATTTAGAGACAGAACATTGCTTGCCTTAGCAACTGCTTGCCATCTCGTACAGACATCCAGCACACATGCTTTGCTTTGTTGATTGAGACATTGCTTGCCTTAGCAACTGCTTGCCATTTCGTACAGACATCCAGCACACATGCCATGAAAATGCTTTGCTTTGTTGATTGACATGCCGTAAACCTTTGGCAATTTTCATAAGCTAATAGCAGGATATGTATTATCAAGGAAAAAAAATATAGGGCACAAATGAATCATGCCTGAGTAAAATGAGAAACTATTATGAAAGAAAAAGTATCTATAATTATTAAATTGCTTTGATTATATAAAATTTCACTATAGCAAGTGTACCTCATAGAAAGGCTGAAGAAAAGAGAAGGGGTAGATATGTTGCTTCATTTGTACTGTTTGTTTTTTCTTAATAGCACATAATTAAATGTAAAAGAGAGATGAAACGATATATTGTATTCTCTTTTCCCTGTGATTTTGTACCACTCCTCTCCTGACTTTGGGAACAGGATTTGAAGGAATCCCTTCAACAGACAACCTCCAGGTTTACTTACAAGCAGACAAGCTTATTGAGTAGTTTACACAGGCAACCAATAGCTGGAATGCATGACCACATGGCTCAAAAGTCAGTCCAAAAAGTCTGAACTAACATTAGGGAGAGCAAACCAATATTTATACAGTTTTGCTCCTTGCCCCAATAAGTTGCAGCTGGGTAATGCATAGTTAACCCGTTTCAAACCTCTGAACCCCTTCCTGCTCAGCATCCCACTGTGAAAAGCTCAGGTATGCATAAACAAGCTTGTTAGCATTACAGTATTTGATAAGCACAACTGTTGGCTCTGGCTCCCTTTGCGTCCCAATATAATTACACAGCTTGACTGTCCTTTGTTTTCATCTCCAAACCATGAGACCAACCAATCAAAATGGAACACAGACAATTCAATATGGAACATGTGTGTTAGCTTTTCTCGCTTATCTTTTTTACATTTTCAAATTGTTGAAAGATTTCACCAGGCCAAGCATCCTCACTGCAGCCACAGAGCATGGAGCATGAAGGGGTTATGATAAGTCTGCCAAGCTTCCAGTCCCCCAGGAAGGCAGCAGGATCCAAAAGAGTACCATGGGAATATTACATAACATTAGAATCTCTCTTGTTTCCTCCCTTGAGGCAAAATCCAGAGCTGGAGTCCCGGAGGCAGTCCGTGTCGTTCTGACAACTCCTGCGATGTAGCTAGAACCAGTTGTATTGGCTCTTGCCTTTCCACTGGGCTATTTCAGCGACATGGAGAGGGGGGATTTGCTGCTTGGGTAACAGCCTATCCTCCATAGTATTTTACCCAGGCGTCATGCTCTGGAGAGGACACTCCAGTTTCGCATACAGCATCGAAACAACACGGGAAGTAGCAGTTACTGGTTCTAGGTTTTTGCTCGATTGACATAGAGCATGATGCCAGGGGCTCCTTCTGATGGTGGGAGAGGTCATTGCATCTCACTAGGTAGCTACTGCCCGCCTTAAGCTGGGCAGCCACCAGCCAGTAAGGTGCTACCTTGCCATGATCTGTTAACCTCATGGGGTGCGTGGGGTTTAAGGTGAAAGCCGACAATCAGATCGATAACCCTGCACCATGCAACAATCGTAAGAAAACTTCTGCCCTAAAGTTGGGCATGTGGAATGTTCGGACAATGACCCCTGGCTTTTCTGATGACAGCTTTTCTGACGACCTGCAGGAAAGAGATGACGTGCACAAGACAGCTGTCATTGACATGGAACTGAGTAGACTGCAGATGGACATTGTTGCCCTGCAAGAGACGA